AACACATTTGATGCAAAGTTTGATAGCAACAAATGTTGATAAAAAAACAAAACATGTTTTAATCCAACAACATTCACAAAATTTTCTGAAACAATTTTTAATTTCAAAACAGTGGTCATTTACGTCAACCAGCACCAGAAGTTTGTAATAACACAAACTTGTTCTCAACCATGGTCAGAGTGTCCACAGAAATTGATTTACATGGCCAGGATTTGTGGCCATGGTACGTGTGTGTTCATGGTCAGAATGCCCACAGAAATTGATTTACATGGGCAGGGTTGTGCCCATGGTACGTGTGTGCTCATGGTCAGAGTGTCCACAGAAATTGATTTACACGGCCAGTGTTGGGGCCATGGTATGTGTGTGTTCATGGTCACAACCCTGGCAAATCAATTCCATGGCCGGCTAGCAGCCAGCTGCTTCCATGGACACGTTCTGGCCATGAATCATTGTGCCTTCTTGCCATGGTCACTTCTTGTCCATAAATTTATGAAACGATGTGGTCATGGAAAGGACCGTTGACATTGACATGGCTATCGTTTGATCATGGTCCTAGCTGCATGGCTTGTCATGAACCAGGTTGTTATTCATGGACGTGTCCCAATGGTCAAAGGTTGTGACTATGACTCCACGCCCATGGACACAAACCCTCGCCATGATAAACGTAGACCGTGAACACGCGACCATGAGGAAAACATCCCATGTCCATTACTAATACAGTTGGCCATTGATTAGTTCTGTCATGGTCTTTGTGTCCATTGACAACAGTATCATGTCCAAACGTGTGTTCATGGACGTTCTACATGACAATGGTAATAGTAACCATGGACACATTCATGGACTTAGTTGTGACCATGAAAGCCAATTCTCCTGGTCATCCCTTGCCATGGAGCACATTAGCCATGGCCATGCAATTCATTCACCCACCATATACTCATGGTCAACTGTTGTTTTCATGGTTTACTGGTTCCATAAATCTATGGTCACAAATATCCATGGTTAAATTTATGCCCATGGCTCATGGACAGCCCCATGGTTTTTTTTTTACCAAAGGTCCTTTCAATCAAGTAAACCCTTCAGTTCTAAGGCAAAACGTCTACAGAAACTTTGGCTCGATGGCAGTATGGCCTTCTAGTGCTTCTAAATGACTGAAAAAGACGAGGAATGATGGTCACGAGTCGTTCTTGGGCCGATTGCCATCGCCGTTTTAGCGGGCTTATGCAACCGCTCTCGTGTCCGTCAGTCCGTCTGTCCGTGTAAGAGGAAGGAGATGAGCTAGAGGTCTCAAAATTTCAGGGTATTTTAGGGGTCACTCCTGGACAACGAAACGCCTGGTGCAAATCCTGGCAACCAACCCTAAGGGGGTGAAAGGGGTAACAAAGAAATAGGGGTTGGGTTGCCCTTGGATTTGCCGTATCTTTCACTGTTTTGGCCCTAGAGCTGGATATATTGAAAACAATGGCAAAAAGTCAAGTTTTAAGACTGTTTGACAAATAATACAATCTAAAAACTGCGTTGGTTCATTTTTTTGTATTTTTCTGAAGCAAAGCAGAAGGGTGGGGTGTAGTCACGGTGTCGCCCCGTTTCAGTCTTTTGTTATGTCTAAGGGGCACATTTCTAGGGCCGCAGGCCCCCCCACGGGAAGTTAGTTCACCCAAATATGCAAAGTGATTTACCGGTCACATTATTTATTTGGTTATGTTATTCAGTAAATCGCGAGACTGAAATGGTTGGGCCGCAGGCTCGACCATTTCCGCCGGCAGGCCAAGCAGGCCCGGCCCCTACCGAACGGAGTTGCCGGCGCAGCGAAGTGGAGCTGGCAACTGCGTTTGGCGGAAGGGCGGGCCTGCTTGTTTTACTCATA